TCTGTAGTCTTGTTTTTGCATTATTTTTGCACTTCCTTCCACCGCCAAGTTGCGTATAATGAGGGCTCAATGAAAATGAGTGACAGCTACTTCCCAAAGACTTGGCATCCGAGGGACAAACAAGGTTTAATTGTTTGTCTTACTAGTCCTTCCGTAAAGTCGCTGGAATGATTTCGGCGACGTGCACTGTGCGAAAAAACTCAGGGTGCGAGCGACAGCTCGAAAAAGCCTATTGCACTGTGCAAACAGCCAAAAATTGCACAGTGCAAAGTGAACTTTCGGTTTCGCGGGGTGCATGTCGCCGAAAACATTCCAGCGACTTTACGAACGGACTAGTATGCCCTTAGGCAATTTTTTTGAGAAAGTTTGCGAGGTTTGGTCAAGGAGTGATGTTTATTTGTGAACTTTAATCTTTGAATGGAAAGTGCAATATAATTTTTCGAGTCGTGTCTTTCGGGTCGACGACAGTTTTGGGCCAACACCAGAGATTGCCACGGCTCCGGAGCCGGCTCTTGGCTCCGGCTCTGGCTCCCGGCTTGGAACAGGAGCCCCTTTAACGTTTATTATTGGAAAAAGTAAAAAAAAAAATTTGCACTGGGGCCGGGATTTGGAGCCGCAGACCTTTTTAAGTTTTTCATGGGAGCCGGGAGCCGGAGCTGCAAATTTGGCCTTGGCTCCGGCTCTGGGAGCTTAGAGCCGGATCCCCAGCCGAAATTTTGACCGTGGCAATCTCTGGTCAACAAAATATAATCGAGACGATGGTAAGACAGGCTGCAGCCCAAAGAAAGTTAATTTGAGGCGCATACGAAATCCGGTAAAGCCGTTGGATTCTTGGCGGACGCTCGGCAAAGACTTGGCGAAGACTTGCAACATGACAGGCATACTAGTCGCGGAAAAAAGTCCTGGGATTTTTCTGCGACTCTGCACTGTGCATGAAAACGAAAAGTGCTTTTGCACGGTGCAATTTTGTTGATTTTGCCTTATTGTCGCGCGCGAGTCCCGCGACAAATCAACTTTTCGGAGCGCGATGGAGTTTGGGGGGCGCGAGAAAATCCCAGGACTTTTTTCCGCGACTAGTATCAGTCTGTTGGGAAAATAACGGCGGATCGTCGCATCAAAATGTCTCGCCCCACCGCTCTCGCGCACCAAATCTACAGCTGCGGCCGCCGTCGCAAAGCGATGATGGGCGATTCCAAGGCGCGACGACCCGCCGTTATTTTCCGGACAGACTGACATGTCCTTACAAAAAATGTAGTCTAAATTTGACCCACTTCTCGATAAAACCTTACAGTTAATTCTAGAGTCTAATCTTCGAGAGCTTCATTCGGTTCACCGAGCTAAACGTCAAATACAAAAACATTCAAAAAACTCGAGTCGGCAAAAAAATGGCTGGAAATAAACTTGTTTCTTACCGGAAATGATAAATTTCATACTAGACGGGCCACAAAGTCTTGACATGTTTGCTAGATGCGCCGTCGCGCAAAAAAAATGTCGCACGGCAAAAAGGGCAATCAAAGCACCGTGCGTTTCTAACTCGCATCGTGTTGATCGTCTGCCGTGCAAACGACACCGGCGAAAACACATCACTATTTTTTGGCCCGCCTATCAGTCTGTCGAGAAAATAACGTGGACTTGTCGCAGCAAAATCGTCGAGTCCCGAGACGTAAACAAAGATTACTGTATTGGCATTCCGTTTCTTTCGCAGCTTCTCGAAGCTCGGAAGATAAATAGGACTTCAGTTGTTATTTCTCATAATTCAGTGAATGCTATCTCCGTGTTTTATCTCTTATTATTTCTATCTGATAATAAACCTACATTTATAATATTATTATCCATCGTACATTGGGCTGACATCAACTCCTTCACACCTACACAGTGAAGATACAACAAAAATGCCTGGCCTTTCCGCTGCCGCGTACCAAATCTGCCGCAGTCGCAAGGCTTCCAAAAAATCCACATCATTTTCCCGACATCAGAAAAATAATGAGCCCACTGTCGCACCGAAAATAGTGTCGCTAAAGTGAAAAGCAATTTGATTTTTCCGCGACACAATTCATTTTCTTGGCGGCGATGCAATTTTCGATGCAACAGAGTGCTCATTATTTTCCCGACAGACTGATACTACCAAAACTTGGCTGCAATTTCTCTTGGAATTTCCGCAAAACTTTTTGTCTTACTGTAGTTTACTCTATTGCACTTAAATCAACCATTATATTATAAAAAAAACGTCTTGGCCTTCATGAGAACATAATAACGGCGCAATAAACATAATAAACTTGTGCTTAATAGCCGTTCCTCCTAAGCCCTAGGGCCGCGAACAAACACCCATTCGGGGAAAGGACCAAGAGCGGAAAGTCCGGGGAAAATTGTGACACACAGACGGATGTAAACCAAAAATTTCCCGGAAAAAGTTGTTTTGGCGCCAAGAGGAAGAAGAAAAATGTAGGCTTGCTGATTTACCAGATATTTACATAAATAGGCCGTAGAAACTTGGCGGAAAAAGGAAGTCATAAAAAAGCAAAGGAGAAACATGGCGGAATAAATTTAAAGAGATGTTCGGAAAATACTTCAAATAAAAAAAAGAAAATTTTGCCGGTTTTGCAATATTTCGGATACTGTAAGTCTTTATCAGTTTGTCGGGAAAATAATGAGCACTCTGTCGCAGCGAAAATCGCATCGCCGTCGAAAAAATGAATTGTGTCGCTGCAAAAACAAATTTTTTTTTCACTTTAGCGACACGAGCGACATTTGCATATTATTTTCCCGACAGACCGATAACGACTTACAGTATCCGGCCATCCTCGCTTTACGAGGCTGACCGCGGCTGGAGATTCGGTGCGCGACTGCGATGAGGCGAGAAATTTTGCGGCGACAGATTCACATTATTTTCCCGACAGTCTCATAGGACAAATGCCAATTCCACTACGGTTTTAGCTCAAAATCTTCAATAGGCAGCCGAGATATTCAACGAGTTTTTGTGGCCGAGAGAGTACGCAAAACACGGAGAGCGGTGAGAGACTGATAATATTTTTTTGCGGAAACCTTGCCACTATGGTAGAAATAGGTATGAAACTGCTGCTGAAAACTCTATTTTCCCTCTCCCGCTCTCCGGGGTTCGCGTACTCTTCCGGCTGCAAAGATTGTTGAAAATCTCGGCCATGCCTGCAAATTGTGAGCTGCCATTTTCAGGGATTGAAAAGTGAGCTAGTTAGATTATACCTCCAAAATTTCAAGACAATCCGAGAATCGACCTTTGAATACTAGCACTTTCAAAATTAGCCCCTTTTTCAACGACCACTTTTCCGAAAACAATTTTTTTGCCCTTTGTGGATTATTATATTACTCCTTTGTTTACTACAAATCTATCCACCAAATGAGTCCAAAAATCTGATCAAAGTCCGGAAAAATATTTCATCATAAAATTGAAGACTACGGTAATTTAACACACCAAAAGGCAACCAATTTAACTTACGCACTTTTTTGGGTCCAATTTTTGTTTACTGAAACTTCCATCGGATTCGAAAGTTCCTACAAGGTCCAAAAAAGCAAGTGTGAAGAAAGAAAATCCAATATCGGATTGTTTATTGACACATTTATCTTGGGTTCTAACGCATTTATCGGTGTTTTTTTGACGCCTCGATTTCAAACGTTTTCGCTGAACTTTGATGACAAAAATGTAGCAAGATAAAAAAAAGTGTTAGGAAATGTCAGAGATCACCTCGGAATGGCAATTCGACTTTTCAAAAAATTTTTTTTTCATTGCACAGTGCGAAAATTTCTGTTTTTTTTTGTGCACGGTGCAGAAAAATATTTCAAAATTTTGCACAGTGCAAAGGAAATCGAAAAATTAAAAACGTCGAAAATTTCAGATTGTCAGTAAAAACGAATTTTTTGCACAGTCCAAATCTTGAAAACAAAAATTTGGACCGCACCGTACGGAAAAAATTTTTCGAAATTTTGCACAGTGCGAATTTTTTTTGTTATTTTTCTGCACGGTGCAGAAAAAAATTTCGAAATTTTGCAATTAAAAATGTCATATAAAGTCCCATCGTCACTAAAAAATAATTGATTTCTTTTGCACAGTGCAAACTTTGAAAAAAATATATTTTGGACCGCACCGTGCAGAAAAAATTTTCGAAATTTTGCACTGTGCAAAGAAAATCCGAAAAAATAAATAAAAATGGCCTAGAACTAACTCTTTTCAAAAAAGAGCAGTCTAAATTTCTCTTGCACAGTGCAAAAATTAAACATTTTTTACCGCACCGTGCAGGACTAAAATTTGCAAAATTTCGCACAGTGCAAAACATTTATATCCAAAAAATGTCCCATCCCTTTTCTTTGCCACTAAAAAACACTGCCAAATCCCAAAAAAAAGTTGAACCCTCAAAATGTAATATGCATTCAACAACTTTGTGTGGAGCGCATATTATAGTAATCGTCTTGAAATTACTGCGCTCATTAATTATTCATTTTGAAAGTCTATCTAAACACGATGTATTTTTTGCTTCGAGCTTTTCCAAGAATTTGGAGAGAAAATACACTCGGAAAAGGGAAGGAAAACGCAAATTATCTCGAGAATTCTGGCTACTTTTTAATTCTGATGATAAAATATCGTCTTGAGTCTGTAAAAAAACAATTTAAAACAAAATCAAGTGTTTTAGAATCAATTCAGAGAGTAATCAGACAGGTTCCACTTCGAAAATCGCGACTTGAAGTTTGAAATCGCAAGTTTTTGCAAAAAGCTCGGGCGCGAGCTGCCGACAAGAAAAATTCCCGCTTCTTTTCTAAAACAATATTTTTTTTGCGGAATTCTCGAAATTGATGTTGAATAAGGCGAGAGCTTTTTATTGTTAGATTAAATAAATATTTATTAATCGTATTTTACCTTTAGAAACAGCAGTTTCTTGAATTTTGATTTTTGGTCTAGTATAATATCGAAAACTCGGTGTTAGAGCGTTCTTACTCCCATTTCTATGTGAAGTATCCTTTTCAGGCCCATCATGGAGCGAAGTGAAGAGTTTGGGCGGGAATTTTCACCAGTAACCGTCGCCGCCGACCTTCTCCATCTAATAAATGAATGTGATCAGAGATGCCTCTATGAGGCGAGTAGGTGGTAAGTTTTCTGTTCATCTTATTCTTCATTATGTTCTTCAACTTTTAGGGCAAGTGAGCAGCTTGTTTACATGGAAGAAAGTGTAAATAACAGCTTAGATTTTGATGTAGTCAGGCCAGCAGTGGAAAGCAGCGGCCACAAGAGGATTTCTATGGATTTCGCGAGGAAATTGATTCAGAATTGTGAATACTACCGAGCACGACAGTTCCTTCAAAAAACTAAACGGGAAACACCAGTTGAAAACTTTTTATACTTCTTTTCGTGGTACATGGTAAGCTTTTTGATGTTTTTGGTTGGTCTTTAGGTTTTTGTATGAATGTGGTCTTGAAGTATGTCTTATTAGGTGGACTGAGGGTTTATCTAGCTAGATGGAAGCAAGGTTTATCATTCTTCAGCTTTTAAAATACTTTTCGGAGATGTTTTCGATCAAGCTTTCTAGTGTAATATAAATTAATGTCGTGCATTTTTGACAAGCTCTGGATATATGTTTTGCTCGTAAATTATGTTGTCAGGAGCCATATGAGAACTTTTTAGATGCAAATCTTGAGGATGCGATTTGCCCCTTGACGTATTTTACCCATTTTTCTTCATCTATCAAGTATAATATAAAATTTTTAGATCTGCCAGCGAAAACGAGCTGAGAAGGAGATAGAAGACCTCGAAAAGAAGGAGAATCAGAATGATGAGCAATTTTTTGAGCTCTGCAAGGAGATTGAGCGTCTATATCGAAAGAATCCCGAGACTTTTGACGCCTACTTGTTGTACTTGTAAGTTCTTAAAATTTCTTGTGAAATTCCGCTTTTAGGCTCGCCCAGATAAAACAGGATGGCCAACAGACCAAAGAGGCCAAGAAATTGGTCTTGTCCGCGTTGGAAATGGACGTCCGATGCTGGCCGGCATGGGATTTGTTGTCCAGAATTTGCACTGAAGCCGATTTTGTGAGTATTTTGATTTTTTTTCTTTGATTTTTAGGTAATTTGAAGGAAAATCTATTGGATTTCAGACGGATCTAGAGCAAAAGCCGGCGTATCGGACCTGGCAATACATGGTTTTTGCCGCCGAAGCTGCTGGCCGTCTTCAATTACTCACAATGGCCAAAGATTTCTTCACTGAGATTAGCGAGACGATTTTTACGAGTCATCCATACGTCCTGTGTTCCATTGCGACTATCAAAATTAATCTTCAAGGTGAAAATTTGGAAAATTTTATATTATTTTAGGTATCAAGATTAGATTTTTCGTCGAATTTTTGGGTAAAAGTTAACTTTTGATGTTGCTACTGATGGATAAAGTAATGTTTTGTCTTTCAGAAAACCAAAGCGCATTGGAATTCTTTGGACGCGTCCGAAAATTGGATCCGTACAGAATTGATCAGATGAATTTGTACTCAAACGCCCTATTTATACGCGACGAAGAGCTGAAACTCACGGAACTTGCCGATTTCTTCGATAACAGCCATCGATTCACTTGGGAGAACTGCATTATTCTGGGTGAGAAAATTATATTATACTTGGGTGATTGCACCGTGCAAAAAAAATATTTTTGGAATTGCACAGTGCAAAAAATTTTTTTTTTGGATTATTGCATAGTGCGAAATTTTTGGACTGCACTGTGCGAAATTTTTTAACTGCATGGTGCGAAATTTTTGAACTGCAGGGTGCAATGAATTTTTGGATTATTGCACCGTGCGAAAAAAATGTTTTTGGACTGCACAGTGCGAAATTTTTGGACTGCACTGTGCGAAATTTTTTGACTGCACGGTGCAATGAATTTTTCGATTATTGCACCGTGCAAAATTTTTGAACTGCGCAGTGCGAAATTTTTGGACTATTGCACCGTGCAAAAAAAATATTTTTGGATTATTGCACGGTGCGAAATTTTCAAACTGCACGGTGCGAAATTTTTTGGCTGCACGGTGCGAAATTTTTTGACTGCACAGTGCGGAATTTTTGGACTATTGCACCGTGCAAAAAAAATATTTTTGGATTATTGCACGGTGCGAAATTTTTTGGCTGCACGGTGCGAAATTTTTTGACTGCACAGTGCGAAATTTTTGATTGCACAGTGCAGATTTTTTAAATGTTTGCACAGTGCGGTTTTTTTAAATTTTTTTTCTGAAGTTTTTTTAGGATTCTTAGACATACAATTAACTCCACGATTAGTTGTACAATAAGTTTTACTCGACCTATTATACACTAATTTTCGTTTCGATTTCAGCCAACTACTACAGTATCCGAAAAATGCACGAAAAAGCGATCGAATTCCTCCGGAGAGCCATCAGACTCCGGCCGGAAGACTCACAGACCTTTATCTTGTTGGGCCAGGAGCTTTTGCAGACCAAGGATCATCAAGCAGCGACCTTGGCCTACCGCCAAGCCATTGGTAAGTATTAGTTAATTAATTTTGGGTCTTGACACGAAAACTTGATGTTAAAAAATGTTGGAATTGGTGATTTTAGAAGGTTTAGGGGGTCTGTTTATGGATTGGGCCCGGTTTTGTCCCCACCCCGGTTTTGTCCCCAAGACGGTTTTGTCCCCAGGATGTTTTTGTCCCCACTTTTTTCGAGCCTTTTTGTCCCCAGACCGGTTTTGTCCCCAGGACGGTTTTGTCCCCAAGACGTTTTTGTCCCCACTTTTTTATTTTTTTGTCCCCAGACCGGTTTTGTCCCCAGGACGTTTTTGTCCCCAAGCTGGATAGTACGATTAAAAATTATGCATTCAGATGTTAATGCTTTTAGTTTGGTGCACAGTACTGATCAAGCAACATGTTCTTAGCACTTGGTACTGTATAGTACAAGGTGGTACTATATAGCACGAGGTAAAAATTAAGCCATAACGCGTTAATGCTGTTGGTTTGAAGCCCCGGACTTCTCAAAAAATGTCTTTTTAGCACTTGGTATTATATAGTACAAGGTGGTACTATATAGCACGAGGTAAAAATTAAGCTATAACGCGTGAATGACGTTGTTTTGGTATGCACTACTGACCAGACGTTCATTTTGTGCAAAAACAAATTCGTGCTATATAGTACCATGTGCTAAAACACATTTTTGAGAAGTACTGGGCTTCAAACCCATAGCATTGACGTGTTATGGCTTAATTTTTACCTCGTGCTATATAGTACCACATCGTACTATACAGTACCAAGCGCTAAGAACAAGTTGTTTGAGCAGTACTGTGCACCAAACCAACAGCATTAACATCTGAATGCATAATTTTTAATCGTACTATCCAGCTTGGGGACAAAAACGTCCTGGGGACAAAACCGGTCTGGGGACAAAAAAATAAAAAAAAGTGGGGACAAAAACGTCTTGGGGACAAAACCGTCCTGGGGACAAAACCGGTCTGGGGACAAAAAGGCTCGAAAAAAGTGGGGACAAAACGTCCTGGGGACAAAACCGGTCTGGGGACAAAAAGGCTCGAAAAAAGTGGGGACAAAAACGTCCTGGGGACAAAACCGTCTTGGGGACAAAACCGGGGTGGGGACAAAAACGTCCACTACGGGTCTGTTTATGTGTTGGCCGATTTTTTTGACGAAATTTGAGGTATTTTTGAGATTTTTGGGTCCCGCCACGATTTCCCTGATTTTCAGGGGAATTGCGAAAAAGTTGATTTTAAAGCTGTCTGAGATGCTGGAAGTGTTGTAAATAGCTTGGATTATGTTTTCACAGGGACAATGAACATATTTCACACAAAAAATTTGATTTTTTGCGGTATTTTTGGCTTAATTTACCTAATTTTTCATCTTTAATTCTAGCGCTTGACCCCAAGTCCTTCCGCGCCTGGTACTGCCTGGGCCAACTCTACGAGATCCTCAAACTCCCAGCCTTTGCACTTTACTACTACCAACAGGCGGTTCGTTACAAACCGACCGATTCGAGAATGCTGATCGCCACGGGAGTGATGCTGGTAAAGCTGAGGCGATACGAGGACGCCGAAAAATGCTTCAAAAAAGCCTTCCAGATCGGAGATGTGGAAGGAAATGCATTGACGGAGCTGGGAAGGTAGATTTTTTTTAGTTTTGAAAATTTTGCCTGAGGCGATTTTTTTGAAAATTGGGATTTTTTGAGGAATTTTGGAAAATTTTGAGAGGGAATTGAACTCATTTTGAGTAAAAATATTTTTAGGCTATAGGTAGTAACGTAATTTTTTCAAAAATTAGAAAAATCAAAAAATTTTTTTTTGTTTTTTCAGCTTATATGAACACATGAAACGATACGATCAGGCAGCCCGAGCCTATGAATATTTCCTGAAATTGTATTGCGATGAAACGAAAGATGTTGCGGTATGTTTTTGAAATTTTTTTGAGATTTTTTGAAAAAATTTTTTTTTGAGTTTGGCTATTTTTTAAATTAAAAATTCATTTTTATCCTTTAAAATTATTTTTAAATATTTTTTCAAATTTATTTCCAGTATGGCGACGTTTTTGAATTTTCTTTTGAGATTTTTTGAAATTTTTTTTTAATTTTGGCTGATTTTTGGAATAAAAATCCATTTTTTACCCCTGAAAACTATTATTTTATTTTTTATGAAAATTTATTTCCCGTATGGCGACGTTTTTAAAAATTTTTTGAGATTTTTTGAAAAAAAAATTTTTGAATTTGGCTATTTTTTTCGATTAAAAATTCATTTTTTATCCTTGGAAATTATTTTTAAATATTTTTTTTCAAATTTATTTCCAGTATGGCGACGTTTTTGAAATTTTTTTGAGATTTAAAAAAAAAAATTTTTTGAATTTGGCTGTTTTTTCGATTAAAAATTGATTTTTTATCCTTGAAAATAATTTTTTTTTATTTTTTATGAAAATTTATTTCCAGTATGGCGACGTTTTTGAAAATTTTTTGAGATTTAAAAAAAAATTTTTTTTTGCATTTGGCTATTTTTTGAACTAAAGATTTTTTATCCCTGAAAATTATTCTTTTTTTATTTTTTATGCAAATTTATTTCCAGTACGGCGACGAGGACACGATCGCATCGGTGTGCAAATTCCTGTCCAGCTACTATTTCCATCGGGACGAGCTCCAAAAGGCCTACGAATACGCGCAAAGATGCCTGCACTTTGACAAAACCAAAGAACACGCCGCCCAAATGCTAAGGAACATCAAAATCGAACGCTCGAAAGACATCCAAGCCCCGGTCATTGACCAAAACACAGCGGACATGAGCCTGATCCTAGATGCCGGAATGAATTCGTTTGTTCATCAGTCGACACCAGCTGGCCCTCCGCAAAGCTCAAGGTGCGTTTGGAGGGAATTTGGGGGAGTTGAGAGAAATGGGAGCGAAAATTTGAGTTTTGAAAGGATTTTTGGGAAAATTAATTTTTTTTGCGTAAAAAAGGAGTTGAAATTGGTGATTATAGATGGTAAAGGTATGTGTTGGGACTGTGGAAAACTCTAGAAATGAGTTTTAGTACATCGTGCAACTTTTTGGAAAATTTTTTTTTGCACGGTGCAAAAAATTTTTTCCGACTGCACTGTGCGAAATTTTTTGTTTTTTAATTTCGCACAGTGCAGTGAATTTTTAAATCCAAAATATTGAAAGATATAATAAAATAAGATGGTAAGTGAATGGTAAGACGTTTTTTAGAAGTGTTTATAAAAAAATTGGCAAGGGGAGACCAGTTGAAATGGTCTTGCACTGTGCGAAATTTGCGAAAATTTTTTGTTTGCACAGTGCGGTGAATTTGAAAAGAAAAATTATTGAAAAAATAGTAAATAAGGTGACAAGGGAAATTTCAGAAACGATTTTCAGTAGGCTGTGAATTTTTTGAATTGTTTTTTTCACTGTGCGAAATTTTTTTTCCGACTGCACTGTGCGAAATTTTTTGTTTTTTAATTTTGCACAGTGCAGTGAATTTTCAAATCCAAAATATTGAAAGATATAATAAAATTAGATGATAAGTGTAAGACGCTTTTTAGAAGTGTTTATAAAAAATTTGGCAAGGGGCGATCAGTTGGAATTTTCTTTGCACGGTGCGAAATTTCCGAAAATTTTTTTTTTTTTTTGCACAGTGCAGTGAATTTTCAAATCCAAATTATTGAAAAATGTAGTAAAATAAGGTGGCAAGGGAAATTCCAGAAATGATTTTTAATAGGCTGTGAAATTTTTGAATTGTTTTTTGCACGGTGCGAAATTTTTTTCCGACTGCACTGTGCGGAATTTTTTGTTTTTTAATTTTGCACAGTGCAGTGAATTTTCAAATCCAAATAATTTAGAAATGTAGTAAGATAGGGTGAAAAGGGAATGGTAACACGTGTTTTAGAAGTGTTTATAAAAAATTTGGCAAGGGGAGACCAGTTGAAATGGTCTTGCACGGTGCGAAATTTGCGAAAATATTTTGTTTGCACAGTGCGGTGAATTTGAAAAAAAAAAAAATTATTGTAAAAATAGTAAAATAAGGTGGCAAGGGAAATTCCAGAAACGATCTTTCAGAGGCTGTGAAATTTTTGAATTTTTTTTTGCACGGTGCAAAAGATTTTTTCCGACTGCACTGTGCCAATTTTGCACAGTGCAATGAATTTTCAAATCCAAATTATTGGAAGATATAATAAAATAAGATGGTAAGTGAATGGTAAGACGTTTTTTAGAAGTGTTTATAAAAAATTTGGCAAGGGGAGATAAGTTGAAATGGTCTTGCACTGTGCGAAATTTGCGAAAATTTTTTGTTTGCACAGTGCGGTGAATTTGAAAAGAAAAATTATTGAAAAAATAGTAAATAAGGTGACAAGGGAAATTTCAGAAACGATTTTCAGTAGGCTGTGAATTTTTTGAATTGTTTTTTTCACTGTGCGAAATTTTTTTTCCGACTGCACTGTGCGAAATTTTTTGTTTTTTTTAATTTTGCACAGTGCAGTGGATTTTTAAATCCAAATTATTGGAAGGTATAGTAAAATAAGGTGACAAAGGAATAGTAAAAGGTTTTTTAGAAGGCTTCACGAAAACTTATGGCAAGGGGAGACCAGTTGAAATGGTCTTGCACTGTGCGAAATTTGCGAAAATTTTTTGTTTGCACCGTGCGGTGAATTTGAAATGAAAAATTTTGCGAGATAACGCAAAATAAAGGGGTAAAAAATGGCATGGGTCTTTTTGAAGGGCTGAAAAAAATATGGCAAGAGGGGACCAACTGGAATTGCGATTTTTTAAAAATTTTTTCGGATATGACAATAAAAGCCAAGTGTAATATAAATTCCGAATTTGCAGAGCCCACCCATTCAACGACACCATCGCCCTGGAGCAGTCGATAAACCGCACCAACCAACAGCAACAACAGCCCGACGTGAACGTGGACGAGGTCAGCATGGAGGACGCGGACGAGTCGGAACAGGTCTCATTTTAATTGTTACAAGTGTTTGTAAATAAAACGACGATTAATAAGCGATTCGAAGAAGCTAAAACTTCGTGGAAATAGTCAAATTTAGAGATTTAGAAAAATTAAAAAAAAATTTTTTGAAAAATTTTTTTTTTTTTTTTTTCATTCATTTACTCCTCAAACAAGCTAAAAAGAGGTCAAAATCAAGTCAGCAGAGGCTCCAAAGTCTTGACGATGCTCTCAAAACTGGGACGATCGTTTGGCTGGAGAAGCCAGCATTTCTCAACCAATTTGATGACTCCCGCCGGGGTACCCTGAAATCAAATTTTTAAAAAATAAATAAATTTTGTTACAGTAACCCGGATTTTGGGTTTTTAAAATCCAAAAAGTTTATTTCGAAGCCAGTTTTTCGATTCTAAAAAATTTTTCCTACTGTAACATGTCTTACTGCGGTTTTGCAAAATTTTGTTACAGTAATCCAAAATAAAAATGATGAAAATTTGAGGCTTCAAAACATCTAAAAGTGCCTCTAAAAATGATTTTAGGTCACTATTTAGAGTCAAAATTATATAATTCTAACTGTAATTGTAATTTTTCAAAATTTTGTTACAGTAATCCTAAATCAAAAATCATATGAATTTGAGGCTTCAAAACATCTAAAAGTACCTCTAAAAATGATTTTAGGTCACTATTTGTAGCAAAAATTAATTAATTTCTTACTGTAATTTTTCAAAATTAAATTTTGTTACAGTAATCCAAAATAAAAGTAATAAAAATTTGAGGCTTCAAAACATCTAAAATTGTTTCAAAAATACTTTAAGGCCACTATTTATTAATTTATATTCAAAATTAACTAATTTCTTACTGTAATTTTTCAAAAATTTTTTACAGTAACCCAAACTTTAAAAATCCAAATTTTCAACCCCAGATCACCTATATTACCCCTTAATCACTCCTTAACCCAAATAAAACTACAGTAACCCCAAAAATTTCCCTCAAACTTACAGTAGGCATGGTCATTCGGTAATTCTGTACGATAATCTTGGCTCGAGTCTGAATATTCGTCAATCCCGGGTAGGGTTCGGCTCCATCCGCATAAATCTCCCACGCCATGATCCCGTAGGACCAGACGTCCGTCTTGTTCGAGTAAATCTTGTTCTGCATCGTCTCGGGGGCCAGCCATTTCACCGGGACCTTGTCCAACTTGTCGTCTTGCAGTAATTTCCGCTCATCCGACATCCCAAAGTCGCTGATTTTGACCTCATTTTTCTCCGAGAGCAAGCAGTTGCGGGCACTGAAATTTTCGCAACTCAATTTCGCGTTCTCAGGTTTTCGTGGTGAGACCCAAAAATTTCACATTTTTCGAGAAATCATGCAAATAATCCGAATTTCTGTGATGAATTGAGAAACTTACGCAATATCGCGATGAATAAAGCCTTGCTTCTCCAAATAGGCCAGTCCAACCGCACTTTCGTAGCAGAAACGGAGCTTGGTACTCAAAATATCCTGACCCTTGTGTTTTCTCAAATACCCAAGCATCGAGCCGCCCAAACACAACTCCATAACAATCATCAACGGATGTTCGTGGACCTACAAACAAGGTGACACAAGTCGATAAACCAAAAAAGGCATAGGGGACATGTTATACGATGAAACCGGAAATTTTTCTCAAAACATGTTTCATCGTATAAAAAGTCGAAATCTTGTAGAATATGAATCAAAATGGCATAAACTCTCATCAGGCCAAATATTATTTGCTTATGTGACATTTTATACGATGAAAATTGCAGAAATAATCCTAGACATTTTTCATCGTATAAAACATCCCCAAGAATTGCAAAAAAGTAAAACAGTAATTGAAACGCCCTAATCTTCCAACAGCCCTAATATCACACCACACTCTAACCTAGGTGACGTCTTATACGACAAAAGATGTTTCAAACTTTTTCATCGTATAACTTGTCATACCTTGCAAGAATCGGGAAAAGAATCTCAAATTAAGGCAGAACATACCGCAACTCCCAAAATTTTGACAATATACTTGTTAGACAGCTTCCTCATCAAACGGGCTTCTTTCATGAACTTGAGGCGCTCTTCCCGGCTGACTTCGCCGCGAATCGTCTTAATCGCGACCTTCTGCGGAACCCCGTCGGAGGTGTAGACGGCCATGTAGACCTCTCCGAAGGCGCCTTCTCCCAGCTTTTTGCTCATCCGCACCGAATCATGATTCAAAAGCCATGGTGGGCGTTCGACTGCACTCTTCAACTTGACGCCCGATTGCTGAGAGACCGGCGCTTGATTCTTGACATGCCATTCGATCAACTCGTTGATGGTGGGTTCCTGCACGTTATTTGAGAGTAATAATAATTGAAGTATGGGCATTTTATACGATAAAATCTGTACGAAACCTTTGTGCAGATTTCATCGTATAAAATGTCGCCAAATGAATTAATTACGAAAAATTGCTTTTAAATTGGCTGGAATGTCGTATACAGCAACCCTTTTACTACAGTGACATTTTATACGATAAAAACTACAAAACACTCAAAAACAGTTTTCATCGTATAAAATATCGCAATATAGGCCGACATGACCAGAAGAAGTCGTAAGTGACATAGGCTACTACTTTTTACAACCATGAAGAACAGCTTAACTATAGCGACATCTTATACGTTCAAAACAGCAAAGCATTCCAAGACAGTTTTTAGCGTATAAAATGTCACCCATTGATGACAAGGTAAAAATTGAAAGTTCAAATAACGTGAACTGCCATTGGCTTTCCGAAAAAGGCAGAAACTTTCTTAACTTCGCTAATTTCCGAGGAAAATTTTTAAAATTACCTTCGATGCCTACAACAATATAAACGCTTACAAAATGCGACTCGAAATAAAACTGATTCTGCTCATTCTGGTTGAGCAAGAAGTGCTTGATGCCTTTGGCCGCGCGCACAGCCAGCGTGATCACAATCTGGCCTTTGACCTCGGATTTTCTCAGCAAAAAGTCCCCTTCCGCCTTCAGCAACGGCTCCACGTCGTGGCGGCCGAGAAGGCCGTGGTAATAGCTGAGGGAGCGGACCCTCTCCACCATATCCACGGCCAGATCCGCGGGTTCGGTCGGAGTCATCGGTGTTGGGGTGGTGATCGAGGCCGTCGCGACGGGAGTTGAAGGTTCGGCCTGGAAATGGGGACTTGAGCGGAGACGGGTAAAAATTACAGTGGGGAACCTGATCCAGTGGCAAAAAAAGTGCCATTTTGCATCCGGAAAGCAAAAATGTGGCAAAATGCTTCCCTCTCCAAGAGAAAAAACTCTGATCTCAAAAGCGCGCCCTTCAAAACGAAGTTTTTTCACTTGGAAAGGGAAGCATTTTGCCACATTTTTGATGCTTCCCGGATGCGAAATGGCACGTTTTTTCTCACTGGATCGGGTACCGTACCGTAAAAAATCACTCTTCCCTTACCATGCTCATCTTGTCGGAGGTTTCCGAATAGTTTTTTGAGACAACCGAACGAGATATCAAACTTTTTTAAATGAATTTTTTGGCGAAAAAAATGAATTTCAAAAATTTTTTAAATTTGAAAATTCAAATTTTTTTTTTATCGAAAACTCGGTCGGTTTCGGGGAAATAAGACGAAAATCGAACAAAATGTTCGATTAAAGTCCCAGGAGTTTATGAAATTGAACAAAATTTGTGAAAATTTTGAGATTTCTTTGTCGGATTTACCGCCAAAAAAAATGAACGTTTTTCGACAAATTTTTTTTCATAAATCCCTTACAAAGTCTCTTCGTTGATTACTTATAAGAGTCACAAAATGTGGAACTCCGACGTCGTATTTTACCCCCAAACTTACCATTTTGGTTCGAGTTTGCAACAGAGACGATGCGAAAACCCCGCCGGTTCACTAGAATAAGTTCGCTAAATGTTGAACCGAAAAATGAAAACTAATTCTCATCATCGGAGGAATGACGGGAAATTTGAATATCCAAAAACTTTAATACCATTTTTTACTTTATTTTTTGCCCAAACAAGGCATTTTCATCGTATAAAATGTCTCTTGTAACTCCTCGAAAGTTACAGTAGGAGGGCTCTAAAGACCGTGTTTTACTATTCTTTTGAAGAAGGAGAGCAGAAAATGTAATTTGATAAAACCTATGGACTTTTCATCGTATAACATGTCTCCGACAAAGGCTTACGGCCACAAAATGAGACAAAAGCTTCTTCTTTCGGCGTATTTTACACACTTCAAAGCCAGAAATCACAAAATGATTTTTTCTTTCAAATATGTTTCATCGTATAACATGTCTCCGACCAAGGTTTATAGCCTCAAACAGAGAAAACAGCTTCTTTTTACTATGTATTTTACATACTTTAAAGTGAAAAATAAAAAATGATTTTTTTCTTTCAAAATATGGTTCATCGTATAACATGTCGCCGACCAAGATTTAAGGTGCCAAACTGAATAAACAGGTTTTTTTACCACGTATTTTACATATTTCAAAGTCAAAAATCGAAAAAATTATATTGCCTTTCCAGCCATGTTTCATCGTATAACATGTCCCATTTGCTTATTTTTCAATTTTGCCATACTTTCTAACATTACAATCTTGTCGTTATACTCTTCTTCTCTCATTTTCTCAACAAAAACGTCAAAATGCATTTCTTTTTTATAAATTGCCTCGGGCAATTCAAAAATTCAGACATCTCTATAGCAATGGGACTGCGAGTACAACGTGGGATTCGGAATACTGTTAGTGTTCCTCTTGTATTCGCTGCCGAAGATGGAGAAAACGGCGGATAATGAACTCAAACCGCCAGTGGTCCAGAAGAGGGTTTACACGGCCGGACAGGTAGGTAAAATACGGCCCAAATTAATTTTTCATTAAAAACTTGATAAAACTTAAGCCAAATTAGATGAGTGGGGCTTTCCAAGACATACCGGATATTTTTTTCAGTCGATCCGCGCCTTTCCCGAATGGACTTCCACCCACGGGATCCCGCACATGGGCCGGACCGGAAAATATTACTGTGTCGGCTTTTGGACAATCATCACGCTGATCGCATTGGGCCTGCTAATCTGGCAGCTCGTCCTAATTGTCATCGAGTACTACAAACACGAAGTCAACGTGCAAATTGAGCTACAATTTCAGCAAAGAACGTTCCCGGCGGTGACTTTGTGCGATCTGAATCCGTACAAAAAGTCGATCGCGTTGAAGGACGAGAAGATTAGCCGCGTTATGGACACTTATTTGTATGCCATGAGGTCCATGTCGTGCGACTCGTATGCGGACTGCACGTGGACCACGGACGCTCAAATGGAACAGTATATGGCGGATTACGGATTCACTGTAGGGATTTTTGATGATTTTTTGGGGAAATCGCATACTTTTTGCGAGATACTTTGCAAAAAGCGGGCAAAAATACCCGCGATTCTTCAAAAGAAGAGGGCAAAAAATATGACATACAGTGGCGGACCTGATCCAGTGGGAAAAAACGTACCATTTTGCATCTAGGAAGTATCAAAAAAGTGGCAAAATACCTCCCTCTCCACGTGAAAAAACTCAGATTTGAAAAGCTCTTTTTGTGAGGAAAAAGGGCGCGCCTTTCAAAACGAAGTTTTTTCACTTGGAGAAGGAAGCATTTTGCCACATTTTTGATACTGCCCGGATGCAAAATGGTACGTTTTTGCCACTGGATCAAGTCCCCCCCCCCTGTACCCATTTCAATAACAATTTTAGAGCCTGAACGACACGTCAGCTCTTCAAACCAAAGCTAAACGAGTCTTGGATCTCGAAGCCGCCGGTTACGATCTTTCAAGCGCCAAAGCCCAATACGATGACTTTTTGCAGGGCTGTAGTTTCAACACACAGGATTGTGATGACAGGTAACTAAATCCAAAATTTATCCTTTCAAACAGTTTCTGATGTCATCAAAAACCACTCATTTCAGTGACTGGACCGTCTTCGAGGATCCGTCGATGGGAAATTGCTTTACTTTCAATAACGCCGCCGAAAAGAATGCCACCAGAGCTGGCCCGATTTACGGGCTGCGTTTGATCGCCAAGACCAACATCTCCGAGTATCTGCTAACTTCGGATACGGCGGGAATGAGGATCCTGATCCACGATCAAAACGAATATCCCTTCCCGGATATTTTTGGGTATAATATACAGGTATGTTGGTCAAAATAAATCGCATGTATCCTGATACAACGTGCCGGAAATTGAGAATAGGATTTTTGAAGGCATATACAAGAGTTTTAGTTTGCAGAAAGACCTTTCCCATCCCAAAGCGGCAAAAATATTTTTTGCCTGACCGTCTCTCCTCATTTTGCATACTCTCCGGGAAAAAGACCGTCGAATATCTTGGCTCTCCTTGCAAAGGGAAGGCTGAGATTGCGGACAATTTTAGCTCATGCTTCGCAGGGAAAGCCAAGATATTCGACGGTCTTTTTTCCAGAGAGTAGGAAAATGAGGAGAGACGGTGAGATAAAAAACATTTCCTGTTGAAACAGTGTGGGACTTGATCCAGTGGCAAAAAACGTACCATTTTGCATCCAGGAAGTATCAAAAATGTGGCAAAATGCTTCCCTCTTCAAGCGAAAAAACTCCGATTTCTAAAGCGCGCCCGCTCTTATTGTGAGGAAAAAGGGCGCGCCCTTCAAAACGAAGTTTTTTTTCACTTGGAGAGGGAAGCATTTTGCCACATTTCTGATACTTTCCGGAAGCAAAATGGTACGTTTTTTGCCACTGGATCAGGTCCCCACTGTACTTGCCGCTTTGGGATGGGGAAGGTCTTTTTACGAACTGAAACTCTTGTATATGCCTTCAAAAATCATATTCTAAATTTCTGACATGTAATATCAAGATCCATGTGGTCTATTTTGACCAGTATACCTGTATATTAGACCCAAAAACATCGTAAAATTTGGATGTGAAAAATATATTTTTTAGACAAAAGTCTTACACATTATACCCTCCGTAATTTCCAGGTAGGAACAGCCACCTCAATTGGAGTCACCTACACCGACATCTCTCGTCTTGGCAGTCCTTACGGCGAGTGCACGGACACAAAACCCGATGGGTATTTGTTCAGTCTGGCGTACAGTACGGAAGGCTGTCAACGCTCCAATTATCAGACGAATATGGTTTCTAATTGCGGATGCTATGATCCGGCATACCCGAAACCGAATAGCACGGATACTATGTGCACCATCGAGGATAATTGTAAGGAGATATAGCGAGATTAGATGTTTTTATTAGGATTTTTTGGGTTCAAATGGGAAGTCATTGTAAAATACGAGATTTTAAGGCGCTAAAAAGCCTTTTACTTATAATTTGTAGTTAAAATTTCCATCATTTTTTGAAAATTTTATATTATTTTAGGCGATTTTAAAGCCTAAAATCACATAAAAAACTAAAATTAAGAAGCCATTTTGGCTAAATATCCTATTATCAACCGTTGCACATCTTGATGTCAACGTTTTCTACAGCTTTTATATAAATTTCTAAAAATTTTATATTAGGTCGTCCAGAAAGTTCGTTCGTTTTTTCATTGCTTTGTTTTACAAGGATTGTTTGTTCTATGGCAAATGGAATATATTTATTTGATACAGCTTTTTCTCCTCTACAAAACTGGCTTTATCAAATAAATATATACCCTTTGCCAAACAACAAACAATCCTCGTAAAACAAAGCAATAGAAAAACGAACGAACTTTCTGAACGACCTAATATTACTTTGGTTAAAATATGCCTAAAATAATGTAAAAACCACCTCCTTAAAGGTCTTAGATCCCCAAATATCCTACATTCATTTCTATCACACCGCTTATTCCACCATTTTACACCTTTTCCCTTCAAATTTCATCAAACTTTATATTACTTTACCCATCAATTTTCTTTTTTTTAGATGACTGCTGGAACCAGCAATCCAACCACACCGGATCCGACTACAGTTGCACGCAGCCCTGTCACGAAGGCACTTACGAAGTCACAGTGTCCTCGGCCAAATGGCCAAGCTCCTCGTTGACCATAATCGGCGAATGCGAGGAGGGCGAGTACGGTAATCAGACCTGTCTGGAAATGTACACCGATAATGGCGCTTTGATTGAAGTCTACTACGAGAAACTGAACTACGAAACAATGGAGGAGAGTGCTGCGTATACTGTGAGTATTTTGTGTCATACTTTATGAATATCTCGATATTTTTGGATTAATTATATTACACTAGGTATCAGACGTTAAAAATTTAATTTTTTGGCTAAAATTTTTTCATTTTTCCTCCGAGAAATCGTTCTTAAAAAGGAAGAACTACCACAAAACGTATTTTAAAACAATTATTTCAGGTTTCAACCCTGCTATCCAACTTTGGTGGACAAATTGGCTTATGGCTGGGAATGTCGGTCATTTCGGTTATCGAATTCTTTGTTTTGGCATTCCAGGTAAATCCAAATTACATCTTACATAGTCTACTAAAATTTTAGATCAAAAAAAGCAGATCAACTGCAAGTTTTATCAAAAATTTATATTACTTTAGATGACCTACTAAAATGGTCCTAAAGTAAACTAAATTTGAGCGAGATTAGATATAAACGTGGTCACAGAAGTTCTTGCATTCGATCTTCGCCGATGAGGCGTAAACCACTGCAAAAATCGATGTGCAGTGATTTGGAAAACCCAGTGCAGGGTTAATTTTGGGTCGGAAATGATTTTTAAAATTCAGTGCATTTTTTTTAAGTCAGTAATGATTTTTCAAATTCAGTGCATTTTTAATAAGTCAGTAATGATTTTTCAAATTCAGTGCATTTTTTTTAAGTCAGTAATGATTTTTGAAATTCAGTGCATTTTTTATAAGTCAGTAATGATTTTTCAAATTCAGTGCATTTTTAATAAGTCGGCACTGATTTTCGAAATTCAGTGTTGACTTAGACCCGTAGCTCCGCCCCCTTTTTCTGGAGCCAATCAGGTAACAGCTCTCAAAATGAACGCAAAAGGCGTTAGAAAAACGCCGTTTTTTCGCGGATTTCACTCCGTGCTCCGTTGTAGCCACTAATGGGGTTTATGAAGCACCTTATACTTTCAAATAAAACAGAATCCAGATTTTTTGACAACTTCCATCCTTGGAAGGAGAATCAACAAAAGTGAAACTGGAAGCAAGATGATTTCTATGTTTTCTTTACTGGAATCATGACCAGTTGCTAATGTAAAAAATAAACCCGTATCCTATAGAAAGTTTATCTTCGAGACATAATACAAGATGTTTTACGGTTTCCATCGTTCTTTCTCCTCATCAAACACATCGTCTTCCAGTTGGGGTTGAGTCGTTGGCGATGTCCCGACGTGGATGGACGACCGGTTTCCAATGGTCGGCTTCCTCCAAACATTGGATTGGAGGATTGGAACCGAGGACGCTCTCCAAACTGGTTTCTGCTTCCAAGTCCACTGTTGGAAGATTGCGGTATGGGTCGTTGACTGGTTCCAAAATTGGAGTCTGCTAAAATACGACATTTATGCAAAAACTGAACCTAAGCAATAATAAAATGGAAATTAATGACTTACTTTATTCACTTCTCCGATTGTGGCTTCCTCAAGAAGGTTTCAGCACTCCATTCCACTGAATAAAATTCTGCCGGCATTGCATTCGATTCTCGATGATCTAAAGGCGGAATCAAAAATTTCAAACCCAACTTACCACCGAAACACCTTCGAAGGCGAACATCACAGTGCCGAAGAATTGTGGCAAATCCCGCAATTCTCCTCATTTCGTCAGCTCATCCGTCGATTTCAGGTTGCTGGAGAAGAAATATACCACAATCGCCACTGCGCCCAAGTAAATCACGTTGGCTGCGGTTGCGAATGGCCCCAATTTCGAGAGCTTTCGAATGGAACAGAAGCCCAGCACCAGAATGCAGATGAAAACCATCCAGACGGACTTTGGAAAGACGATACCAACATTCTCCCGGAAGAAATCCTCCAAATTGTCCGCCATGAAGACGAAATACACAACAGAAGCCGAGTTGAGCGATGAAAACATTGCAGTTGACGAGTTGTTTGAAGAATTATCCGCGATGTCTGATCCACGACGGGCCCGCTTCGAACGCACCTCGCATAATATTTCCATAATCGATTGCATCTCGTCCGTTTCTGGAAAGCAAATATTTTAGGTGTCTGCCGACCAAAAAATATTTTTTCTGCTAAATTTATCGTTAGTTTTCCTCGAAGAAGCCTAAAAACAGAAGAAAAATTCAAATACTTACCTTGAACAGACAAAATGGGGCGCAAATATTCATCTGTCGCATGCAGTAAAAGCAGACGGAGCAAATCAACACCAATAAAAATCATTCCCAGCTGAAAATAATACCCAAATCAGTCAGAGGACCCAAGCGACAAAACTTCGCGAAAAAAGATAAAAAAAGCCAGCAAAAGAAAAGAGTCTGAGTCAAACAAATCCTGTAATTTCCCTGCGAGACACAAAACACGGATCAAGTCCTTGCGGATCATTTCGTAATTTTTAGGCCCAAAACTTGTATTTTTTTACGATTTTCGTGGCAAATTTTGCCACAATATAACTTTTTGGCTCTTATTTTTTAGGTAGCTGATGGAACAACCCAGTCGACCCTGTGGAATCCGACGAGATCCTGCGCACGGAAGACCACACATCAGATTTTGAGGACCAAATTGAAGCGAGTTTGAACGTTGAGTTGGGTTTCATCGACGATCAGGTATGTTTTTCTTGTTGTTCTTGAAATTTAGGTATGAAAATTGAAAAAGAAGTAGAAAAGTTTGTTGATGCTCAACTTTTGGGCTCTTATTTTTTAGGTAGCTGATGGAACAACCCAGTTGACCCTGTGGAATCCGACGAGATACTGCGCACGGAAGACGACACATCAGATTTTGAGGACCAAATTGAAGCGAGTTTGAACGTTGCGTTGGGTTTCATCGACGATCAGGTATGTTTTTCTTGTTGTTCTTGAAATTTAGGTATGAAAATTGAAAAAGAAGTAGAAAAGTTTGTTGATGCTCAACTTTTGGGCTCTTATTTTTTAGGTAGCTGATGGAACAACTCAGTTGACCCTGTGGAATCCGACGAGATACTGCGCACGGAAGACGACACATCAGATTTTGAGGACCAAATTGAAGCGAGTTTGAACGTTGAGTTGGGTTTCAGCGACGATCAGGTATGTTTTTCTTGTTGTTCTTGAAATTTAGGTATGAAAATTGAAAAAGAAGTAGAAAAGTTTGTTGATGATCTAGTATAAGGCGTGAAATTAAAGCCTTGAGCTTTTGAAGTTTAATAAAAGTGAAAATCAGCCATTAGTGACCTAGAAATTACTGGATTTGGCAATAAATCTCAATTTTTTTAGGAAAATCCGTCGGAAGAAGCCGAAGAACCCAGCTCATCTCTTGAAAATGATGTGAACAAACTTACCAGGAACCAGCCAAAAGACACAGCCAGCCCCGAACATCCGATGGTACCCGTACGTCAGCTGTCCCTTCAACCAGTCGTTCCATTTAATATTATTTAGAAGATCTCTTAAGTAGAATTCAATTCTGGTAGAGCTTTTAGTGTAGTTGCTTCTTTTTATAGCGTTAAATTATTTATTATTTGTTTTTGGGAACTCGTTATATATTTTTGAAATCGTTTTTTGATTGTTGTTGTTTAGAAGGATAAAATTATATATTTACCATGTTGAATATCTGAAAACCCCAAAAAAAACGACTAATTTAACCTCAAAATTGAATGGTGCAAGGCCTAGTTCAAGAAGGCGGAGACAATTTTCTAGAGCTGCCTCCTGATTGGCTGCAGAAAGGGGGGCGGAGCTTCTCTAAACTCAGCACTGAATTTTGAAAATCAGTGCCGACTTATTAAAAATGCACTGAATTTGAAAAGTCATTACTGACTTATTAAAAATGCACTGAATTTCAAAAATCATTACTTTCTTATTAAAAATGCACTGAATTTAGAAAATCATTACTGACTTATTAAAAATGCACTGAATTCTGAAAATCAGTGCAGGGCTATTAAGTCCGCACTGATTTTTCTCAGATTCGCAAGTTTGTTGACACTGGGTTTTCCAAATCGCTGCACATCGATTTTTGCAGTGGTTTACGCCTCATCGGCGAAGATCGAATGCAAGAACTTCTGTGACCACGTTTATATGTAAAGCTTCTAGAAATACTCTAAATGTCTTAGAATTTAATTTAAATACCTAAAGAGGCTATGTGATAGCAAAAAATTCAAGTTTAAGTCAAAAATTATATTACTTTAGGTGATTTACACCTAAAATAAGGTCATAGATAGCAAAAGTCGCCTCAATATCGCAATTTTTTGCTATGGGAATACTAATTATACTATATAAATTCATTTTAGACAGTTCACAATATTTTTGACAACCGTATTTTACCCCAATTTCCCATGATTTTTGCTATATTATCCATCATTTTTCAGGTGTGCGCGTCATGTCTCTCCAGCAAAGCCGGTGAAGTGGTGGGTTTCTAGAGCAGCGCCCACATCCCATAAATATTCAATTTTCGAATAGAAACATATACATTTATCACCATAACGATCGTCGGCAAGGAACGTTCTTCCATTTATTTCGAATCAAATAACCGTATATCAGAAATTAGCTGTACAGAATGGAGAATAAACTAGTCGAAGTCCACCAGATAAGCGTATCGTGGAAGAATGCAGCTGAGCAACAGCTAAAATACGAAGTAAATACGGGGTTTTTTAGCAAATTTTTTGAAAATCATCAAAAATTTTAGATAAAATTTTGAAAAAATCTCAAAATTCATGGAAAAATCGTTGTCCAAATTTGCAAAAAGGCACTAAATGGGCTCGAAAGTCCTCAAAATCCCTAGACACAACTTACAATTTTCAAAAAAATCCAAAAATCAAAAAATCGCCAAAAATTTTTGGAAAAAGACCAAAAAATTTTGAAAAAATCTCAAAGTTCTTGGAAAAATCAATGTAAGAATTTGTAAAAAGGCACTAAATGGGCTCAGAAGTCCTCAAAATTCCTAGATACTCCCTAAAATTTTTAAAAAATTTCAAAAAATCATCAAAAATTTTACAAAAAAAGCCAAAAATTTCGAAAAAATCCCAAAATTCATGGCAAAAATCGATGTAAAAATTTGTAAAAAGACCCCGAAATAGGTTCGGAAGTCCTCAGAATTTCTAGATACTACCTAAAATTTTTTAAAAATCCAAAAAAATCGAAAAATTGCCCAAAAATTTTCAAAAAATTCCGAAATTCCAAAAAAAAAAATCGTACTCAAACTTTCTCAAGTGCCTAGAATCACATCAACTGCCCTCTAAATTCTCAGAAAACCCCTAAAAACTTCAAAAAACCCCGCAAAAATTTTGATTTTTACAAAAAATCCCAATTTTTCTTTTTTTTTCTCACCTGCAAGAACAATATAACAAAGTCCACGAACGAGATCACGCTCATGCCCAGGAACAGCCCGATCTGGCCTCCAATGTCGGACAGGACCGACGACACGGTGGCGGCGGGACTCTCTTCCATCGTTTCGTAATTCAATTTTTCGTAGTAAATCTCCACCCACGCCGCGTTCTCGCCGAACGCTTTTTGGCAGCCCTCGGGGTACGCGTTCTCGTAGCAGCCGGCCACGACCGTGCCCACGGACGTGGGCCAAGTCGCGCTGGATATTGTGACCGCATAGACGCCGTCATTACAGGGCTGATAGCAGTCCTCGCCCACGGTTTGGTTATTATAGTCAAGCCAGCAGCTCACTGGAAAGAAATGGCCATAAAATTTGGCAAAGTTTGTGGATTTGTTTCACAAGGAAATTAATGGGTTGAGATAAAAAAAATTTGTAACAAAAATTCTTATTGTTGGGACCTAATTTTGACCCAAAGTTAAACGGAATTTGATTGAGGAAGAAATGGAGGGCATTTCAGAGATTTTTCACAGATTTTTTCTTGGAAAAATGAGGTTTCTTGATGGATTTTGGAGAAAAGTCATCAAAATTTGATGATGAATGAATTTTTAAGAACTTTTTGACTGATTTGTTGGGCGATTACGAATTGAATAAGTTTATAATGGACTTCATATTGTAGGGAGTTGAGATTTTTAAAGGAAAGTTTTATTTTTGGGACCTAACTTTGGCCTAAAGTTATATAGAGCTTAATGCAAAGATTGTTTAATATTTCAACGGCCCTTGTAAAGCAAGACCTAAAATTTTCAGAGGATGAAATATAAAGGGTAGAAAGCATATATGCCAAATTTGACAAGGAAAGTACTTTATGGAGCTACAGGTCGCGACATTATCAAAAAAATCGCAAAATTTTTCTGATTCAGAATATGTAAAAGTTAGCTGCCCAATTTTGGTTTGCAAGGGGGTAAAAACCTTCAGAACTTTTCTCGCAACACCACACAAACGCTCTTTTTCTACAGTGTGGGACCTGATACAGTGGCAAAAAACGTACCATTTTGCATCCAGGAAGCACCAAAAAAATGTGGCAAAATACCTCCCTTTCCAAGTGAAAAAAACTCAGATTTCATAAGCGCGCCCGCTCTTTTCGTGAGGGCCCTTCAAAAAGAAGTTTTTTCACTTGGAGAGGGAAGCATTTTGCCACATTTTTTATACTTCTCCGATGCAAAATGGTATGTTTTTTGCCACTGGATCAGGTCCCACACTGTATATTGTATTAAAAGGGCATCTGTGTGGTGTTGCGGGAAAAGTTCTGGCGATTTTTTTCACCCTTACAAACCAAAATTGGGCAGCTAACTTTTGCATATTCTGAATCAGAAAAATTGCGATTTTTTTGATATATGTCTCGACCAGTAACCCCATACCCCATAGAAGTACTTTCCTTGACAAATTTGGCAAATATGCTCTCTAACCTTTATATTTTACCCTCTGAAAAATTTAGGTCCTCCCTTACAAGGGCCGTTGAAATATTCAACAAACTTTGCATTAATCTCTACAGGGTGTTCAGAGAATTATGGAAAAAACTATTCATTAATAACTTTGCGCTCAGTGGCCCAATCCGAAAATTTTTTTTTGCATTTTACAGAAAAACCTTGGAGTTTTTAGAATCTCAAAAAAAAATTTCTTTTGTCGGCGGAGACTTCCGTAATCCGCGTTGAATTCGGCGGAGTGTTTTTTTCACGAAATAAGGCTGTAAATCGTTGTATGTGTAAAGAAAATGGGCGGAAAAGGATCCAGAAGATACGATATGACATTTCTTTCAAATTTCTATGCTTCGGCGGAGACATTTTTTAACCTCGGCGGACGATTTTTCTTCGACTCCGGATAGTCAAAATCGGCTAAAACCAAAGAGCATGGTATCCCTGGTGGTATGGAGCCTAAAAACGGCTTAATACGTCTTCAGCCGGCGGGCAGATGAAAAAAAGGCAATTCGGCGGAGAAATCGGCGAAGAAAAAAATTAACACATTTAAGAAATTATGATGAGAAAACTAAAGTTGTAGGTCTTATACGGCCCTGATCAACCAAAAATATGAATCTTCTTCTTGGCGGATGCTCGGCGGATAAATTTGCATAAGTTCTTAAATACGTTCATTTTTTCTTCGCCGATTTTTCCGCCGAATTGCCTTTTTTTCATCTGCCAGCCGACTGAAGACGTAATAAGTCGTTTTTAAGCGACATGTCACTAGGGATACCATACGCTTTGGTTTTAGCCAATTTTGACTATCCGAAGTCGAAGAAAAATCGTCCGCCGAGGTTAAAAAATGTCTCCGCCGAAGCACAGAAATTTGAAAGAAATGTCATATTGTATCTTCTGTATCCTCTTCCGCCCATTTCTTTACACATACAACGATTTACAGCCTTATTTCGTGAAAAAACACTCCGCCGAATTCAACGCGGATTACGGAAGTCTCCGCCGATAAAAGAAAAAAATTTTTTTTAGATTCTAAAAACTCCAAGGTTTTTCTGTAAAGTGCAAAAAATTTTTTTCGGATTGGACCACTGAGCGCAAAGTTATTAATGAATAGTTTTTTCCATAATTCTCTGAACACCCTGTATATTACTTTAGGTTAAACTTAGGTCCCAAAAATGAAAATTTTCTTTACAAATCTCAACCCAGTACAAAATCAAGTCCATTATAAACTTATTCAATTCATAATCGCCCCACAAATCAGTCAAAAAATTTTAAAAAAATCATTCATCATCAAATTTTGATGACTTTTTTCCAAAATCCATAAAAAACCTCAATTTTCCAAGAAAAAATCGGTCAAAAACCTCTGAAATTGCCCTTGAGGACCCTCCATTTCTTCCTCAATCAAATTGCATCACTTCGTATCAGCCAAATTCCGGGGAAAAACTCACAATTATCGTCGATATTGCACTTGTCGACCTTGGTGTCATTGGGCGTTGGGTACCTCGGATCATAGCAATCGCAGCTCTCAATCATCATCTTCTGATACTCCGAGCGCTGACACAGCTCCGTATTATAGTTCCCATCATACAAATAGCCATCGGGAATGGCATCCGAGCAGTCTCCGTAGGGACTTCCGAGCCGCGAGATCTGCGTGTACGTGACGCTGATCTCGGTCCGCGTCCCCGTCTCCACATTGTACCCCACCGAGCCGGGGATCACGTGCTCGTCCTGGTCGTGCACCATGACGATCACGGAGGCGCCATTGTTCACCGCCACGTATTCGCTGACGTTCGTTTTCAGCTGCAGCCGCAGCCCATACACAGGGCCGGCGCGCTGCGCTTGATGCTCGGAATTCATGTTGAATTGATAGCAGTTGCCGACGTAGGGGTCGAGGAGGTAGGTCCAGTCACTAAACGAAAAATTGGATCTGGAAAAGACCTCTGAAACAAAAATTTTTGATTTTGATACCTAAAATTATATTATCCTTGAAAATTTTGATCAAAAACTAGCTAAAATTTAATGTTAAAATGCTTCTTTATACCTATTTTACCTTAAAAGTCTCGCTGCAACATTTCTAGCCACTATATTTGCCATTCACAACAAAAATTTTTGATTTTGATACCTAAATTTATATTATCCTTGAAAATTTTGATCAAAAACCATCTAAAATTTAATGTTAAAAAAACGTATTTTACCTTAAAAGTCTTACTGCAACACTTCTATCCTCTATATTTGTCATTTTACAGCAAAAATTTTAATTTTTATACCTAAAAATTATATTATCCGTGAAAATTTTGATCAAAATCGGCCTTAAATTTGATGTTAAAACGCTTTGTTAAACGTATTTTACCTTAAAAGTCTCACTGCAACATTTCTATCCTCTATATTTGCCTTTCACAACAAAAATTTTTGATTTTGATACCTAAAATTATATTACCCAAGAAAATTTTTATCAAAATTGGACTCAAATTTAAAGTTAAAATGATTCCTTATACGTATTTTACTCTAAAAAGCTGGCAGTAACACTTCTATCCTCAATATTTGCCTTTCACAGCAAAAATTTTAATTTTTATACCTAAATTTATATTATCCTTGAAAATTTCGATCGAAGAACTGCCAAAAATAAAAGAAAGAAACTTTGTCTTTTTACCTATGCCTTCAATTTCCAACCTAATTTCCCTCTTTATGCGCAAAATTTATATTCTCCTTGCCAAAAAAACCACCTACGAATCACTGCATCCGATCGTGTTGAAACTGCAAGCCAACACCAAATCGCTTTTCGACACCATCGCAGGACTCATGTCGTACTCTGAGGCGGCCAAATAAGTCAAAGTTTTGGCGAGTTGACGGAGTTCTCCGGTGTTGTTTATCCCCTACAAGTCCAATAAAAATAATGTCAAAAACGCCTACCGTGAACCGATATTCCTCCTCAAACTGATCCAATGTGCTATTCGCATCATAATTGCATTCAGCGTTCTTGGCGCAGACCAACTTTCTGGCCGCATATTTGTAGGTATCCAAGACTTGCTTCACCTAGAGTAATATAAGTGAAAAAGTTGGGAAAAACTAATCCAAAAATGCCACAAAAACACTCACTTTGGGGTACTGATCCAACATGGAGTTCTTGTACGGGTTGCTGTCGCAAACCGTGACCGCCGGAAACACCCGTTGTTCGAATTGAAGCTAAAACAATATAAATTTTATCGATTCTTTCCCAACCTCTATGTTCACATTGACACCTCGTTGATAGTACTCGGTAATGGAGAGAATCACCTGCCATAACAAAAGGCCAGTCGCGATCAATGTGCACACAAACCAGAATCCACAGCAAATCCGGCGTTTGGCGAGTCCAAATTGCGGAATTCCTTGTGTTGTCGTCCAATCGGGGAATGTTCGGAGGTGCTGGAAGTTGAAAAAGATAGCCAAAACCATCTATCTTAATTCTAGCAACATTTTTCATCAATCAAACCCGATTGCACCCCATTTCTGCCAACTTTTCCATCCGATCCTCATGGATAATATAATTTTTATCAAAAAATCAAAAAATTCCTCTCCGATCCTTCCCTACTTTACAAAAACCCTTCTATAACGTCATGGCACATGTTTTACCCCAAAAAACAACCCCCATCTTCACCATTCTCACCAATTTATTACCTAAAATTTCAAAACCTAGCCTACCTGCCGAACCGCGTAATATCGATTGTATTTGAGTTCGGAATCCATTCCGACCTCATAAAGTGCCCAAGAAATTGATTAGAGGCCCGTTTGAATCAAAAATCCCGTCGTGAATATTAAATTTATCCATCTGGAGCATTCGCGTTTCCGCCAATCTCCATGGTGAACAAAATTTGATGTAAATTCCCGTGCATCGCAAATCTCGAGTGTAGGAAAGCAGAAATAGCTTGTAGGAAGCACCTGGATACTGTATCCAGAGAAATAAAAAATTTCGGGCACGTTTCATCGTATAAAACGGACTTCTCCAACTGCAGACCAGGGCGCAGCTCGCGGGGAAATATTATTCTTCGAAATGGAAAATTTCGAAGTTTGAGGTCGAAATTGGGTGAAATGAGTGCCGATGAAGCCTCCACATCGTCCAAGCAGCCCCCAACAGGATGTGTTGACCTCGAATCTTCAGTTGAAACCTTCTCCAACTTCTTGAGCAAATTTCAATTTGACAAGGCTCGAGAATTTTGTGAAGAACAACGTCTAACGCAAGCTGCGTACATTGGCTGCAAGCAATGGCAATGCTTGGTAGCTAATCTTGTCCAGGTACGTGAAATTTTCAAAAAATTTATTATTTTTGATATTATTTTAGTTGGCCTCAAGTGAATCCCATTACTTCTCCCTGACCTTTTTCTCCTCGAAATTTTCGTTCAAGAAGGACAACCATGTCCGAGAAGGCTATATGACTATAAAGTAAGACTTTTTCCATTCGTTTTTTCTGATTTTAGAAATGAACTAGACAACTGCTATGATGAATGCGAAAAGCTCGGGGAATCCAATGAATCTTGCGAAGAATTCATGTTGCTACTGCAGCAACTCATCTGTCTTTGTACGATTCGAATTAAACTAGTCGAATTCTACGTTTTCTTAGCGAGTAAGAGACATTTCTCGATAATTTTCTTGAATTTCCTCATGAATAATGTAACTTTTGCTCGAAAACCTCAAATTTTTAGCCGAAAACTGGCGTCAGACTGTCACAGAAGCCGGACAACACCTCAATATGATCAATCAATCGATGGCGAAGGTTTTGAAGAACGACATTCGTCTTCCGCAACTAAAAGCCGTCAAAACCGAGCTGGACATTCTCCGAAAATTCTTTCGAATTCAGTCGGATTTGCTGGATGTCAGCTTCGTGGAGAGTTTAATCCAGATCAAGGAGGTGGCCCACGACTTGGCCACCTGGTTTTCGCATGTTCCATTCAAGGCGTCGGCGTCGAAGCCGCATTTTTTTCTCTTCGCCTTCGCCAAAACGACCAAGTGTGGGCCAAAATTGCTTTTATTGTGCTGGTTCTCCACTTTCTACAACACTTTGTTGGCCAAACTTTGTCTATACTCTCATGACTTGTTCGCCATCCACATTCCGTCCAGTGAGATGAAGAGTTTGCTTTCTGCGCAGCCGAGTTTCCTTCAAAGCATCTTGTCCTATGCGAGACGGGTAAATTCGCATATGATTTGCTTGTTGTTGAATCGAATGGGTGTCAACGAGGATTTTTATGGTGAGGAGAGGTTGTAGTTTTAATTTGGGGAAATTTTTTTGAGGAAAATCGAGTTTTAAGAGAGAAATTACCTTATTTTAGGTAAAATAAGGTAATTTTTTGCAAAAAATTGATTTTTAAAAATTATTTTTCTCTGATTTGGTTTTAAAATGTTCTAAATACGGGCCGTTACGTATTTTACACAACATTTGATAATGTTCCGACAAAAAAATTATATTACTTTAGGTCTAATGTTATACTAAAATAATACATTTTGTTAGTTTTTTGAGCTCAACAAATTATTTCTGAGATCTGAAATCGAGTTTTAATCATAACGAGATTTGTGAACCCCGTATTTTACCAAAAATTCCTCCTTCTCACCTACTGCAATATAATTATTCCAGGATTCGGCTATAAAAACGTGATCACCCGCTTTGGCCCGGATAATCTCGAGCCAATCAACGGGAGACATGGAATTTACCCAGCGCTTTTTCGATACCCTAACGATCAAAAACTTTTCGACACGTTGCACCCAAGTATAATATCGCTGATCCAGGATTCGGCCGAAAGAAATGGTTCCGACGAAAGAGTACGCCACTACTTTGATGGACGAAGCAATATTGTGAGTTGTTTTTGCTTTGTTTTTTTCGAATTTTAGGTTCGTTCACATCGAAAGTCAAGTCGTATTTTAGACGTATTTTACTGTCCTGGTGGAGAAGAATGTCCATTTCACCGCCGTGTTTAATCGTAAAGTCTCGGAGAAGGATCAGAATGTCCAGCAAATGTTCAGAGACGTGTTGGATGGCCTAAGATTGATCAGTCTTATCAATGACCTAAGGCAATGTCATAAAAATTAGGAAATGTAAATATATATTTTATTTGATGTATAAAGGATTATGGAGAATTTTAAATTTTTTTTGGAAAAGGTTTGAGGGATTTTTGAGGTTTTTTTGCAATTTTGTGAGGAAAAATTCAAAATTTTGGAAGATTATAAATTTTTGGAGTTTTTTTGATGAAGTAATATCGCGTATAGGGTTAAAATACTATCTAGAGGATTTGGAAATAAAATTCAATCCGTATTTCAGTGAAAAATTGGGGTTTCTGACAAAAATTTTATGCGTTACGAAAGTATACCTACCCCTTGGAAAATTGCAATATCTAGGGTTTGGTAAGAGCTATCAAAAAACTGCTAATGCCATTCGAAAGAGCATGTTGAAAAACGTATTACCGCGTGGAATCAGCCGATGAAAATCGCAACCATTTTAATATTTTATACCGTTTCAAAAGTATACCTACGCCTGACGATTTTTTTGGCCAATCTGGCTCGGATTTTGAACTTATCTACCCCCATTTCATTCCATTGTGTACCCTATAGTGAGAAAAATTGTATTACATTCATTTCTATTTCTCTGACTGCACTAACCTCATGTACAAAGTCAGAGATGGCTCGCAAACGCACTACGTGGATAAAGTGAAACAGAAATGAATGTAAGACACTTTTTCTTACTATAGGGTACACGATGGAATGAAATGGGAGTAGGTTTAGTCTAAAATCCGAGCCAGATTGGCCAAAAAATCATCAGGGTAGGTATACTTTTGAAATGGTCAAAAATATTAAAATATTTGCAATTTTCACCGGCTGATTCCATGCGGTAATACGTTTTTCGACTTTCTCTTTCGAATGGCATTAGCAGTTTTTTGATAGCGCTTACCAAACCCTAGATATTGCAATTTTCCAAGGGGTAGGCATACTTTCATAACTGAGTATACAAAATTTTTGTCAGATACCCCAATTTTTCACTGAAATACGGATTGAATTTTATTTCTGACTCCTCTAAACAGTATTTTAACCCTATACACGATATTATTTCATCAAAAAAAAACTCCTAAAAATCTATTATTTTCCAAAATTTTCAAATTTTTCCTGAAAAGTTTACACCGTGAATTTTAATAATTTCTACGAAGAGTAAAGAAAATGCCCTAAATTTTTGCACGTTTTATGCAAATTTTGCCCTCAAAAACCTCAAAATCGACGGATTTCCATTGTTTCGCTCACTCTGTTTCCGTGCTCGGTTATAGTCGTGTTGTGACTCAAGTCTCGACAGGTTTCCAATCTTCGAATTGCAACTGAGAATTTGCGGTAAGACGGGTTTTTGCGTGGGGCATTACTTTAGGTTTCTTTAGGTGATTTTTTGGAATTTTTTGGTGTTTTTTGACATTTTTTGTTGATAGGCAGTTGAGACAATGAATAAATCGTATTTTAGAGTAAATTGCCTAAGGGCTTTTGTGATTTCTTGGGGTTTAAAAGGACGAAAAATGAGATGTTTTTATTTTTTTGGCATTTTTTAATCAAAAAATCGCTGAAGGTACCAATAAGTGCTGTTAAAAGACCGAAGAAAATATTGTAGAAAAAATCCCCACGATTTTTTGCCCGAAAAATTCAAAATTTCACAATTTTTCTTCAAAAATGTGAATTTTTCAATATTCAAATTTATGCAAATTTTCAACACGGAAAATTGATTTCAGTTAGGCTCGAGTTCCAATCCCGCTGAGAAATGGCCGATCCGAAGAAATCGGAGGAGAAAAAAGCCGATGCGAAACCCGATGGAAACAAGCCGGCGGACCTCCGTAAGTTTATATGCAAATTGCCTGAGGGCTTTTTGTCCGATTTGTCTCAAATTTGGCACAGAGTTATTCTATGGGGCGATTGGGCCCGGTTTTGTCCCCATCCCGGTTTTGTCCCCAAGACGGTTTTGTCCCCAGGACGTTTTTGTCCCCACTTTTTTCGAGCCTTTTTGTCCCCAGACCGGTTTTGTCCCCAGGACGTTTTTGTCCCCACTTTTTTCGAGCCTTTTTGTCCCCAGACCGGTTTTGTCCCCAGGACGTTTTTGTCCCCAAGCTGGATAGTACAATCAAAAATTATGCATTCAGATGTTAATGCTGTTGGTTTGGTGCACAGTACTGCTCAAACAACATGTACTTAGCACTTGGTACTGTATAGTACAAGGTGGTACTATATAGCACGAGGTAAAAATTAAGCCATAACGCGTTAATGCTGTTGGTTTGAAGCCCCGCACTTCTCAAAAAATGTGTTTTTAGCACTTGGTACTGTATAGTACAAGGTGGTACTATATAGCACGAGGTAAAAATTAAGCTATAACGCGTGAATGACGTTGTTTTGGTATGCAGTACTGATCAGACGTTCATTTTGTGCAAAAACAAATTCGTGCTAAATAGTACCATGTGCTAAAACACATTTTTGAGAAGTACTGGGCTTCAAACCCATAGCATTGACGTGTTATGGCTTAATTTTTACCTCGTGCTATATAGTACCACCTCGTACTATACAGTACTAAGCGCTAAGAACAAGTTGTTTGAGCAGTACTGTGCACCAAACCAACAGCATTAACATCTGAATGCATAATTTTTAATCGTAGTATCCAGCTTGGGGACAAAAACGTCCTGGGGACAAAACCGGCGTGGGGACAAAAAAATAAAAAAAGTGGGGACAAAACCGTCCTGGGGACAAAACCGGTCTGGGGACAAAAAGGCTCGAAAAAAGTGGGGACAAAAACGTCCTGGGGACAAAACCGTCTTGGGGACAAAACCGGGGTGGGGACAAAAACGTCCACTACGCTATGGGGCATAGGTAAATCCCTGAAAATTTGAGGCGTTTATCTGCAGGGGGAACCGAGATATTGAGCGATGCTTTTCGGAGAGAGCACGGAAAATGAGGAGAGCGGTCAGAGAAAGTTTGGTTTTTGGAGTATATCTTTGCGGATTTCGCTGGGAAAAAAGTGATTTTTTGTAGAAATGTTACACTCATCGTGTGGAAAAGAGTGTGATTTTTTGGATACGAAAATTTGAAAAAATTTTTTTTTTTATTTTGATTTTTTCGTATAAAAAATCGGTAAAAAAATTTATTTGAAATGGTAATTATGGGCTATTCAGAGACTTGTTTTACGAAAAAATTTAAATTTTTGGCCAAATTTTTCTATATTATCCATGATTTTTCCAGCCGGACCTATTCCGAACAAGGCCGGCGAACCCGACTTCAAATTGCAGCTGGAGCCGGATCGGTGTGCCATCTTCAAGAGCGATGAACTGCTCACCAAACCTTGCATTTTGGTATGGGCTTTAACCAACAACACCGGCAAGCGACAGGTTTTTAAGGTGGGTACTTTTTCTGATATTGTAGTAGATTTTTTGATGATTTTTTGTGAATTTTATGAAGAAAGGTTTGGTTTTAGGCGATTGTAATGAGTTTTGGTGGTGTTTTCTTTGATTTTATTTAGCGTTTCGTAGTTTGGCTATCCGTATTTTACACTAAATACTAAAATTTTTGATTTTTTGGAGATTTTTGGAGATTTTTGGCGATATTTGATGATTTTTCAAATATTTTCCGGAAAATTATTTAATTTTGTTTGTTTACTGCCTTGACATACTTTTTCATAAATCTTTCTTCAATTTCCAGCCTATTGTCTGCCCGTGTTTTAGGTGAAAAAGTAAGATTTAAAATTTTTTGATGATTTTTGGCGATTTTTCGGAGAAATATTAAAATTTATGTGTTTTTACTGCTTTTTTATTCTTTTTCATTTATTTTTCCTCAATTTTCAGCCTTTTATCGGCCCGTGTTTTAGGTGAAACACTAAGATTTTTAATTTTTTGGGATTTTTTTTATGATTTTGGGCGATTTTACGACAAAATATTCAATTTGATGTCTTTTCACGGCCTTATCATACTTTTTTATTAACTTTTATTCAATTTCCAGCTTATTACCTTCCCGTATTTTAGGCGAAAAACTAAGATTTTTAATTTTTTGATGGTTTTTCGGGGATAAATACTAAAATTTTGGTGTTTTTGATGACTTTTCGGCTATTTTTGATGATTGTTGGCGTTTTAACGACAAAATATTTAGTTTTATACATTTTTACTGCTTTTTTATTCTTTTTCCTTTATTTGTCCTCAATTTTCAGCCTTTTATCGGCCCGTATTTCAGGTGAAATGCTCGTCGAACGAGGTGTTCCGGGTGACTCCGCCGCTCGGCTTCGTGGACGACAAGCAAACGGTCAAGGTCCAAGTGATCTGCATGCTGAAAGAGATGGGCCCCACCCGCCACTTCTTCGCCGTTTACCACACCGTCCCCGACAAGGACGTGAAGACGGCGCGCGCCGCCTGGACGCCCGAGACCAAACCCGACGGCGTCCGCCGATTGCCCTGCCTTTTCCTCAAAAATGATGGCACCCCGTGGACGGTCGACCCCAATGCCCCACCCAAAGGTAAGAATCCGGCAGGTCCGGGAAAGGCTTCGAGGGAATTTGAGGGGGTTTTTGGGGAAAAATGAGGATTATTTTGAGGGGAAAATGGGGATTTTTTTGGGGGAAAGGATTATTTTGGGGGAAAAATGATGGTTTTTTGGGGGAAATGATGATTTTTTGAGGAAAAAAGCAGATTTTTTTGAGCAAAAAGATGATTTTTTTGGGGAAAAATTATGGGTTTATTTTGGGAAAAAGCTGATTTTTGAGCAAAAAATTACTTTTTTGGGAAAAGACGACTTTTTTGAGGGGAAAGACGATTTTTTTTGCGGGAAAGTGATGATTTTTTAGGCGAAAAAGATGGTTTTTTTGGAGAAAACGATAATTATTTTGAGGAAAAAGATGATTTTTTTCGGGGAAATGAATGATTTTTGTGGGGAAAATGATGATTTTTGTGGAAAAAGATAATTTTTTTGCGGGAAAGTGATGATTTTTTGGGGGAAAAAGATGATTATTTTGAGGAAAAAGATTGCTTTTTTTGGGGGAAAAAGCTGATATTTTTGAGCAGAAAGATGATTTTTTCGAGGAAATGAATGTTTTTTGTGGGGAAAATGATGATTTTTTGGGGAAAATTTATGGGTTTTTGAGGATTTTTTAGGGAAAAGATGGGTTTCTTTGGGAAAAAGCTGAGTTTTTGAGCAAAAAGATTACTTTTTTCGAGGAAATGAATGATTTTTGTGGGGAAAATGATGATTTTTTGGGGGGAAGAGATAATTTTTTTGGGAAAAACGAGGATTTTTTGTGCAAATGATGGCTTTTTTGGGGGAAAAGATAATTTTTTTTGGGGAAAAAATTATTATTTTGAGGAAAATGATGATTTTTTTGCGGAAAAATATAATTTTTTTGGGGAAAATGTGGATTTTTTGTGCAAATGATGACTGTTTTTGGGGGAAAAGATGAAATTTGATCTTTTTGCCTAAAAAAATGTTTTTTGAGCTTTTTGTTTAAGATTTTTTGAGATTTTTATCCAAAATCGATCTTTGACATGAATAATTTGTACGTTTTCAGATGCTGGAGCCAAGGATAGCAAGAAAAAGGACGACAAAAAAGAAGAGAAAAAAGAGGAAAAGAAGCCGGAAGAGAAGAAGGAGGCCAAAAAAGAGGACAAGAAGGAAGAGAAGAAGGAGGAAGGTGAGGAAGAGAAGAAGGAAGAGGCCAAAGAGGAGAAGAAGGAGGAAAAAGACGAAAAGAAGAAGGAGGAGAAGAAGGAAGAGAAAAAGAAGGACGAGAAGCCGGCCAAGAAGTGATCTGGCCGGCTGTCCTGTTCATTTGGAGGCAATAAATTCGATACTTGCAGGAAAATTATATTGTACTTGACATCCAATTGAAATTGATGCCCTGTTTTTGGATGTAGAATATGTGATGTTGATTTTTTTCGACTCTGAAATGTTTGTAAAATACGCTGAAAGCAGTTTTTTCGATCTCTGTCGCTGCTTTTGGAGTTTTTGGAAAAATGTAGGGCGCAGCCTGCCGAGTCTAAAAAGCGATGAAATAAAAAGAAAAAAGGCTGTAAATGCCTCTAAATGGGTTTTTTTCTACATATCCGTTAATAAAATTTATTAGTTTGATTCATTTTGCGATTTTCTTGAAGTTAGGGCGCAACCTGCCGAGTCTAAAAAGCGATGAAATAAAAACGAAAAAAAGGTTGGAAATGTCTCAAAACGGACCCTAATGTACATATATGTCATAAAAGTTTTTGGTTTTTTTTGTTTTGGGATTTTCATGAACCTAGGGCGCAGCCTGCCCAGTCTAAAAAGCGATGAAATAAAAACGAAAAATGTTGGAAATGCCTCAAGACGAGCTCTGATGTACATATATGTTATTAAAATTTATTGGTTTTATTCGTTTTGCGATTTTCATGAACCTAGGGCGCGGCCTGCAGACTGCAAAAACGGTGATTTTTGAAATTTTGAATGAAATAATGGAAGCAGTTGTAAAATACGCAATCTGCATTTTGCTTTATTTTTTATATACTCTTTTATCCATAATAATCCCGAAACCTAGGGCGCAAGCTGCCAAAATTAAACTCGGGGAATTCAAATAAGAAATCTTCACGGAAATATTATTTGTAAAATACGGCAATGTCCTGTATGAATATTTTTTTTGTCTTCCGCTTGGAATCTCTGCTAAGCCTAGGGCGCAGTCTGCCAAATCAAAAATTTCGATTCTAGAAAATCGGGTTGAAAAAGATAAAAAGAAGAGTAAAATACGGTGTTCCTCACTGTGCGATTAATTTTATCAAAAAATTTTCAAACCCAGGGCGCAGCCTGCCAAATAAAAAATTTCGAATCCGGATGCTTTGAATAAAAATCGCAAAATTAGCTGTAAAATACGTTGATTACTCTTTGTAACAAATTAGTATGTTTTAACTAAAAATTACTAAATTAAATGTAAAATACGTTGCTTGCCGTTGAAAAATTTAATTTTGTCAAAAAATTTTAAAACCCAGGGCGCAGCTTGCCAAATAAAAAATTTCGAATCCGGATGTTTCGAATAAAAATTGCTAAATTAGCTGTAATATACGTTGTCTCCGCCAGTCATCTTTTTTCGTTATGAAATTTTCAAAAACCAAGGGCGCAGCCTGCCAAATAAAAAAATTTCCAATTCGCATGTTTTAACCAAAAATTTCTAAATTATCTGTAAAATACGTTGCTTGCGCCTTTTATATTTTTTTTACAAAAAATTTTCAAAGCCAAGGGCGCAGCCTGCCAAATCAAAAAATCCAATTCGTATGTTTCGACTAAAACTTGCTAAATTAACGTAAAATACGTTGTGTGCACCTTTCATATCTTTTTGTCAAAAAAAAATTCGAAACCAAGGGCGCAGCCTGCCAAATCAAAAAATTTCAAGAATCGATACTTTGACTAAAAATTACTAAATTATCTTTAAAATACGTTGTGTGCACCTTTTATATTTTTTCTGCAATAAAATTTTCAAAACCAAGGGCGCAGCTTGCCAAATAAAAAAAAATTTATCGGATCCTCCAACCAAAATATGAATCCCGTGTTTGGGCGGAGGGCTGAGAGCGACCGAAAAGAGCCCCCTCGAGGCGAATGTAAACAGTCCTGTCAACACAATACCCGTCATAAAAGTCGAGAGAGCGGCGGCGGCGGCGAGTCATTTCACCTTGAAAAGAAAAGACCTCAAAAGTTCGCTCTTACGCAAGATCCATTCTCCGTTTTCGCCTCGCTGTGTTGGGGGAATCGCTGACCTTCGGCGAGGCTTCGGATTCCCCACCTCAGAAGCGGGGAGAATTTTTTGTTGGAAAATGAAAAATTTTTGCTCGAATTTTTGGGACAAATTGAAAATTTTGATGATTTAGAGGTAAAATACGGATTCCAGAGTAAATGCGTAGTATAAAAATAGGCGTAATTTATTTTAGAATAGGTTACTGCAAGTTTATTGTACATAAACATCAATTTTTAGACAATTTTTGGTAAAATACGGCTAAAATAATGTCTAAATTTGAAAAAAGATGACTAAAAACAGTTTTAACTAATGTATACCCTTGAAATACGGTTTATAAAGACTGGTAAAATACGCCTTTTTATATTTTGGTTACTTATACGACAATAGGGCACCTGAATTTTTCCGAAAAACACTTAAAATTACCTTATTTTAGGCAAAAACACGGATTTTTGTCCGAAAATGTCTGAAAACGAAAATTTTTCCAAAATATTGTGTGAAGTTAGACATTGTAGATATTCCTCGAGTTCTGTAGCTACTTTTATTACAACAGAGCGTCTGAATGTTTCCGAAAATGAAGTTAAATCACCTTATTTTAGGCAAAAGTCATAATTTTTCGGAATTTTTGATGATTTACCCTTTTTTGCAGCTCCAAATGTAATAATTTGAACATTGTAAATATTCCTTAAGCTCTGTAGCTACTTTTACAACAACAAGGCATCTGAATTTTTCCAAAAATCGCCTAAACTTACCTTATTTTAGGTAAAAGTCTTCATTTTTCGGAATTTTTATTGATTTACCCTGTTTTTCAAGTTTCAAATCAATTAATTTGAACATCGCATGTATTCCTCAAACTCTGTGACTACTTTTTCTACAACAGGGAGTCTGAATTTTGCCGAAAATCGCCTGAAATTACCTTATTTTAGGTAAAAACTCGCAAAAATCATGATTTTTCGCAATTTTTTGATGATTTACCTTTTTTTACAGCTCCAAATTTAATAATTTGAACATTGTAGGTATTCCCCAATGTCTGTAGTTTCTTTTACAACAACGGGTCATCTGAATTTTGCCAAGGAGTGCCTAAAAATTGCCTTATTTTAGGTAAAAACTCGTAAAAATCATAATTTTTCGCAATTTTTTGATGATTTACCTTTGTTTACGTCTCCAAATTTAATAATTTGAGCATTGTAGATATTCCGTAAGATCTGTAGCTACTTTTACCACAACAGGGAGTTTGAATTTTGCCGAAAATCGCCTTAAATCACCTTATTTTAGGCAAGAACTCGCAAAAATCATCGTTTTTCGCAATTTTTGATGATATACTCCCTTTTTATAGCTCCAAATCAATTATTTCCGAAGTTTATCGACTCTCTGCCTCATCAACCACTCATATTCGATCACATTTCCCCCCGGTAACTCCCCTCATTTCCAGCACAATCCACTTTTTCGGGGCGATTTGAATTGTTTTTCGAACTCTGATCGAGGTCGAAGGAAGGGGCACGAAGAGCGGAGAGAGAAACAGTTACAGAGTTGAGAGTCCTCTTTACCTTGCGTCGCCTCGCTCTTTTCCGAATTTTACCCCCTCCAGGTGGACGCTCAAACAATTTTTTGGGGGGAATTCTTGAGAATTTTTAGAAAAATGGGGATTTTTTGGGAATTTCGAGCAAAAAATCGGTTATTTTTGGATTGATTGGGTCGTATAGATTTTATGATAACTGATTTTTTTTCATAGTGCAGTTTGTGAGGGTGAATAAGCCTACATTTTTGCACAGTGCAGTTTTGTAAGGTAAAAAAGCTTACATTTTCGCACAGTGCGGTTTTCTAATTGAAATAAGCCTACATTTTTGCACAGTGCGGTTTTTCTAGTTGCAATAAGCCTGCATTTTGCACAGTGCAGTTTCTTAAGGTAAAAAAGCCTATATTTTTGCACAGTGCGGTTTTCTAATCGAAATAAGCCTATATTTTTTTGCACTGTGCAGTTTTTTATGGTAGAAATTCCTGCATTTTTGCACATTGCAATTTTTCGTTTGGGTAAGAAAGCCTACATTTTGCACGGTGCAGTTTCTTAGGGTAAATAAGCCTACATTTTTGCACAGTGCGGTTTTCTAATTGAAATAAGCCTATATTTTTGCATAATGCAATCTTTTGTTTGGGTAAAAAAGAATATATTTTTGCACAGTGCAGTTTTTTGTTTTGGTAAAAAGCTTAAATTTTTGCACAGTGCGGTTTTCTAGTTGAAATAGGCCTACATTTTTGCACAGTGCAATTTTTTAGGGTAAAAAAGCTTATGTTTTTGCACGGTGTCAATTCATTTTGCACTTTTTTCTTAATTTTTAGACCGATTTTTATCGAATTTTCGACAATTTTTCTAAAAACTTCCGGAGAAAAGTTTTGAAAAGTTAAAAATCTCTAAAATTTTTAACAAAAAATCAATAAGATTTGTGATAATATTCTCTAAATCCTTTGAAAAATTCTTGTAAAATACGTTACTTCGTGTCTTTCCTGTATTTGACATCGATTTTAATACCTTGTTTTAGGTCAGCAAAGCAACTTTTTTAGGGTTTCCTAGAAATTTCGAAAAAATCCAAAGAAAATATAAATGATTTTCCTAATAATAAGGAGCTCAATTGCTTGAAAAATAAGTGTAAAACATGCTGTCTTCAAATGGTTCCTCTTTTGACACCATTTTACTGTTTTTAAGTCATCAAAATCAGTTTTTTTGGTGTTTTCTTCGAAAATTTGGGAAAAATCGACGAAAAAATCGGTTATTTCTCTAATAACTAGGTGCTCAAATGCTTGGATAATGAGTGTAAAATACGTTGTATTGATTTCCTGTCTTTTTTACACCAATTTTACCTTATTTTAGTCATCAGACGTAATTTTAGGGGGTTTTTATTGAAACATTCGAAATTTCTCGCAAAATTATGCAAATTTAATGTCGTAAATGACGTCATATCTTTGTATCATGTCATATTCTCAAATTTAAAAGTAACTTTCCTCTTCAAATTACTGTTTATTACCTAAAAAATCGCTTAATTTTAGCTTCCAACGCCTTTTTTGG